TGGAAAAATGCAGGATTTGATATGGATCTCATTAAGTAGGAAAATAAAAAGTTTTTTGCTAGATTTATCTTTTTAAAGGATTTGTTACTTCCTTGTACAAATGGGTTTTTTGGAACCATCTCATTATGTTTTATAAACCATCTTTATGATTGTGTTCTAGAAAAGATTTTCTCTTTATTTACTATTTTTATATAATTTGTGGAGTCATATTTTTTTAACATATTAAAAGTTTTATATAAATGTTATACTTAATAAATATTAAAAACTAAATAATGACTATTATATCATTTAATTAATAAAAATAGCCATTATATGAATAGTTAAGCATAAATATTATGTGACGCTTACAAGAAATCCATTACGTGTTTTTTTTCATTTTATCATCTGAACAGATGCATAGAGAGAGAAAGTGAGATTTGAAGGCATTAGAGCCAATTTTGTCAATCGGGCCACTTGGTGAAATTATTTGGCCCTAGCTAAGCTATTATTACCCTAATTCAAATTTTAATTTCATCTTTTTTCACAAAATTTTGGTATTTTATTTGACAATATTTCATTTATGGTGATTTACAAATTTTTCACAGTGTAACTTTTGATATGTTGTATATTAGACTGTGCAAGATTAATCAACAAGAAAAAAATAATTATTTTTGCATGATATTTTGTATTTTATAAAATTTAGTATATTTTAGCATGTATATTAAGCCTAATAAAGTTATTGTAGAGCAAGAAATACTTGAAAAATTCTATATAATACATATAAATAGTTTTGTTAATTGTTGTCATCGATATGTGCAGATCTATTTTCCCTGCAAATTATATTATTAATTGTCTACTTCTTTGTACTGATTTTTGCACCATGTTTATGATATTTAACATGCGAAATTGCTAGCATTTATATACCTATGTATCAAAAATATGTGTCAAAGCCAATAAAAAAGAGAAAAGTGCATGTGGTTGTGGCTAGGTTGTTGTATGTAATGCATAATCAAATGAAGTTATAAAGACTTCCACCCATATATTTTTTCCATCTATGCATTTGATATGCTTGGACAGAGATGTGAACAAGTGAATGTATAAGTGGAAGTGAAGTTATAAGAGACATAAGGGAAATATGAATATGTTGAGTTATGAGTGGAAGTGGGGGTATAAGAGTGAAGGAAAAATTTTAAAATAATTGAAATATTGAAATACAAAGTTAATTTTCATACTATTCTACAGTATTTATGATATAATATTGCTTATACTGCTATTCAGTAGTTATCTATTGTAGTTATGATTTCAGGTATTGTACTGCAATAAATACTACACATAATATTTTAGCATGTTGGATTTATTTCCATTGAATGCATGTTTATTATTTTATATATATTGAAAAATGTAGTAGATTTGGAGTAGTTTACTGAGTTGTATTGGCTCACACTTGTTTTAATTGCATATGTCATTTCAGGGAAATGTAAGACCCAGGTTGAGTAGAGACTTTTGGGTTATTGTTGAGAGTATGATATTACGTTTGTTATTACCTTAGATCTATATTTTTTATAGTCAGGGTGATGTTTGTATGTTGATGTTAGAGATATTAAATAATGATTGTTATATTTAATATGAATGAATTTTGAGTTTTTCGTCTCATATTGTGATGATATTAATGACTTTGTGTTTATAAAAAAATAAAAAATAAATAAATAAATAAGAATTTTTTTTCAAATAAATATTGCGTAATAATTTAACAATTGCAACCTCGACATGAGACGATCTACTTCAATATAAAGTGTTGTATCGAGTTGGGTCGCGATACCCTCTGCTATTTCTCTCAAAACCATCGTTGAAGTGATAGTTGCCATTAGAGCTGGCTCCTAGCTAGGAAAGCAATGGCGAAATTACACATTTAAATACCTTCGAAACTCCCATAGTCCCATCTTTCTCTTACTGCTCTGCCTCCACTCTTACGGACGCACCTGTATCATTAAGGAAGGAAAACACCTCATTCTCCCCCTTTCTTCCTACTAGGCTTCACATGCTTCAGTTATTAACCCATAATCGTCTTCCAGATTTAAGGCGAAACAAAGGAAAAAAAGGGACTAAAGAACCTATAAGATTTAAAGATGTCATTTTTATTGTTTGGCGGGATTTATCTCTTTTCATCGATAATTTAGTTTAATTCCCAAGATTTTATTAGTTATTTACCTAATTGTGATTAATAATTAATGCAGTGAATGTAAAGTTATATGTCCTCACTTATAACATCATCTTTACAACACCAAAATAATATTTATATTTGAACAACATACGCGTGTTAAAATTCTCAGTTTCATATTGGATCCTCGAGATGCATATTGATCATTTAAAATTAATGATTATTTAAAAATGATATTCTAATTTATGCAAGCATATTAATATCTTCTAACTTGCATAAAGGAGAAGGTTTAGTTGTTGACAGCTCACACCAAAGTAGGGAAAATATTTGCGTACGTCTTACGTACGCAAAGCTGCGTACGTCGGGAAGTTATTCAGAGGGTATAGGGGAGTTATATTCACATTATACCTCCTTGTAACCTATAAATAAGTTCCGGGCTTCTATAGTTCCGTTAGGTACAAGTAAGTTACAGGGAGGTTACATGGGGTATAACGCGGATGTAACCCCCCCATACCTTCTGAATAACCTCCGACGTATGCAGCGCTGCATACGTCTTACGTAAACAAATATTTTCCCCGAAGCAGAGGAAGAAAAATCTGTTGAAAATTAAAAATGATTTATTTATTTATTTATTTTCTTTTCTGGAGATGTGAAGTCTGCCATGATTCGTGGTACACGGATGATCGGTTGGCTAAAATTGAACAGAAACAATGGCTCGTGAGACTAATTTACAGTCTCAATCAATCAAATTTGTTGATCAGCCAAAAAATTTAAGTTCAATTTTGATGAATCAGAGGTTTCAGAAGTTCAGAGGTTCTGCGTCTGTAAAAAGGATCTTTGAAAAGATTGTATGATAACTTTTGGGTATGTTTGAGGCTTCCCGGAAGACATAAGCTGCAAATTAGATTGTGATTTGAGACAGATTAAAGTTACTACTACCATTTTGAGTTATAATATTTCTTCTTCTGCTTGATAAAATTCAAACAATTTGTTTATTAAAATCATTTTTTCATAAATGAAGTCAAGATTATTGTTTTTATAAGTACATAAAGCAAAATACTGATCAAAATTTTTGGAAATTAATGGTGCTAGATAGTCTAACCAATAAAGCACTTTAAACAACTCCATGAAATTCAAATCATTCACAATTTTCTAAATAATTCAAGATGTATACCCTTAAAAAATCCTTATTTGAGTTGGCTTCTGCTATAATAGAAATTATGATAATAATATGCAAATTAATAAGATCATACATTAAAGTGCCTATCACATGCATAAATAGTTTTCACATGTCAAGTTTGCTACACGTTTTAGAGCTTTTCTGTGCAGAGTTTAAACAGATTGCCTCGCCCTCACACGAAGTTTAAAAGATAAGGCCTAGAAAATTCATGACAATGGAATGATAGGTCAATATTTTAGCATTATATGATGATCAAGCGAACATACAAACAAAAGAAGTGTTCAAAGAGAAAATACTATAGATTTATATGAAAACCTCGAAAACGGACAAATCACGAGGTTTGATTCAGCCAAAGTAATTCCTAATATAATACAAAGTACATAATTTCATTTTTCTCTCAGAGAAAATAAGACGGGGTTTCAAACTTTCTAATCAATTACAAATATCAAACAATAAAGTGGTTTAGAATAATAACTAAGCTATAATAGCCACTAGTCGTGATTGACCACCATCTCTAGTAGTAGTTTCTCTCAGCTCTGCTCAAGAATAGATTCATGTCTAATGCTCCTCCAACCTTACAAATACATTTCTCTAAAGTTGGGATTGGATTGTCTTCTTGATTGAGAGACCGATAGTCAACCATTGAAGTATTTGAGGATATTAGGAATAATTTCTTAGAGACATTAAAAGATAGTTGATTTTGAAAAAAAAATGAAACTAGTGATAAGGAAAGTAAGTGACAAATTTCAAAAGTTGATATACAACAAATATTGATCGCATTAAATGAAGCTAAATCAAACAAAAAGTATTGGGCAATATTCTACATGATCATTCTCTTTATAAGAAGCGAGATCAAAAGTCAGAAGGTAGGAATAGGACATCAGTAGACAACCTACTTCAGACAATGGTATGACAAACATCATTGTTGGTCAATTGTGGGCTGTGGTGCTGGTTAATGGCATGTGTTGATGTCCAATGATAAGTACTGGTGAAGGTTTACAATAGCATTGAGTATTGATGAGCATAGTTTAAAAAATTTAAGTCTAAGAATTCTCTCCAAAATATTCTCTTGGAATACCTTTGAATGTTTGGAACCCAAGCATGTTGATAGATTTTTAGATGGGGCATTTTGATCAATCTTGTTGGTAATTAATAAATTTGCTGAGATGATCTGAATTGACCTCTTGATTATTTGACACTATAAACACCTTAGTGCCTTGATGAATTTATAATGGACTAATCATGAGCTAATTTGATCTATGCTATTGAAATGCTTGTTATGATTTTAAACATGTGGCATTCAAAAGTTGCTAGGTACCACAAATAATTTTGTGAAGTTTATACAAATACTTCACAGTATTTGATTTAGATACATTTAAACTAAGATCAAGTTCTGGGATCATTAGGTTCAATTATCGAGTTACAAATTTAAATTAAAAATAAAGTTCACATAATCTCATGATTAATTCAAGAAGGTTTTATTTTTTTTTTGAATATCCAAATATATGTGGCCCAAAATTATTTGTATTTAATCAGATCCAGTGCGTTCAAGAGAATTCACGATTATAGTGATAAATTAACATCTTAGTGATGCACGAGAAACTAGAAATGATGGGTAGAAAACACAAAAAAACTTTACGTGAAAAACCTGTAAAGAAAAAAGAAAACCAATGTCTTGCCCAATTGAAATATTCCACAATGAGTTAGTAATTAAATATACAGCCACTTGTTTTATAGTCTCTCAAGTTACAACGTCGGTGCGTGGAAGGATTTGTGGCCCCACGATAGAGAGCGGTCGCAAAGTGGAGCAATAGTCGGGGCTTCAATGCACCATCTTCAGAGTCAGCTTGACGTTCGGGGAGATGCTTTGCTTCATAACTTGCTTCGTCGAGTGCTTTTTCGCAAGCATTGGGCAACGACTAATGGTAATCAGCAGTCGCCGATGAGTGGTGATCATCGGCAGTTGCAGGAGTAGGAAACGTCGTTGGATCATTGGTGCAGGAGTAACGTTGGGCTTCAACTCATTCTCCAAACTTCAATCTTCTTCAAGCTGCAAACTCCAGGTCCTCGTTCATGAGTAGGGCGGGACTCTATTTATAAAGTCTAGATTGTAAATAAGTAAGAAATCCTTACCATTCTTGATCAGACGACCCGGAAGGATCCCCTTGATCAGAAGAAATTCGATAAACATCTAAGTGTCTTAATGATGACAAAATTGAGCAATCTTGGGCTCGGTAGGTTTGTCTTGTCGATACGCTCAATTTGACTATGATTTTGCTAGATTTGGGATCTATTTGCCTTCCAAACATACCCTGAAAGCTTCCAAAAATGATTTAATGGCCTGATCAGAGCTTGTTTGTGTTTGGGTTGGATTGATTTTGGTAACGTTGCGTCCATCTCGTTGAGCTGATCAGTTTGACCATAAATTTGTTGAAATCAAAATTCTAGATGACTTTTAATCGAAGTTTGACTATTTCTTGCTCAAAAGATCACTCTTAGATCTGTGCTATGCCTCGAGATTTATGTCGAATGATGGATTTATTGATGACGTATCAAAAACAAATTTCTTATTACACATTAACTCCAAATAAAGCCCAAAATAATATCAACTAGACTAGTCCATTTCAACCTGCATGATATCAAACTAATATTTCTAGCTTATTGATCCAAATTTAGAAACACTTTGTTTTGGCTAAAACATCTAAATCCCACACAATTCTCATGTATTTCATATCTAACATCAAAACTTTCATATTTATATACATAACACTCAAAAAATGAAGATCACATAAATAAATATTACCTTTTCATTTATGTTTATGACACTAAAGTATCGTAAATGTAACTATCAAACTTAAGGTGTTAGATGTGCAAATAAATAAGAATTGTGCGGCATAAATGTAACTTTTTTTTAAATTTTTAATCAAGCTTCACAGAAGTACAGAACCATGAAAACGAAACAAATGGCAGCAGAAGCGTCCTTCCCATAAACATATCCAATATTTCCCCAAGTTTGTTCAATACTAATTGTCAGATATTTTATTTTCATGTACTATTGACTCTATATTGAATAAAAATGACGAACACAGCCTAGATTAGATAATCCGAACAAATCAAGCACGTGTTAGAACAAGTAAGCATGCTTTAATGTACTATTTATCAGTCAAAATATTAAGAAAGAAGCGTCTAATTATACATAAAGCACAATTCTTATATATTGACATATCTAACCCATAAACTTTAAGATTTACATACATACCACTCAAATCTTTAACTTCAAATAAAAAATATCACAACTACTAACCTTTTAAAAAGTGAAATATACATTTTCATGCATAAATTTGCAACACCAAAATATTATAATTATAAACATTGAACTTCGGGTGTTTGATATGTAAATACATAAGAAATGTGTGGTATGTAGGCAAGTTTCCATAAATAAAATCACTGTGAAACAGTTCGAAAAATGCAGTCGTAACAACTGGAAAGATCACATAAAATAAGTTAGTCTTACCCTCGCTCAAATACAACGTAGGAAATGCTTTTGTCTAGCTTGAACGGTTCTGAAACAAACAAACGAACGAAGAGTATTATATTCATTAAGAAATAAATTCATATGACTGAAAGGCGTAATCCTGAACATCCAAAACAAAAAGAAGGGCTGCGATGTGGTGGGAACTTACATCTTTGATGAAGCCTAGCTAGCAGATTGCGACCTTCGTTGTAACGCTTTGCATAATACAAGTACTTGGGTTGAATGAAAACTTGAAGAGCACACCTCTCAAAGACTTGGATAGAAAGGAAACCTAGACTTTATTATTATTTAGGGACATTTACATATACAGCACACAATTTTTATGTATTTACATATCTCATACCCAAGCTTTCATATTTACATACCTAACAGTTTTGTGCTTTAAACCTATGCATTATGATATTAAAAATTTAAATGTTTTGTGTGTAAATATGAAAGTTTATATGTATATAATTATAGATCCTTCATGCTTCCAAAGATTATATAGATTGAAAGACCAATAATGTGCTAGGACTCCAATCAGGGCCTGCCACGTGTATAGGCAAGCCCCTTTAAAAAAAAAACTAATTTAATACATGGGGGGCTTGCGTGTACACGTGAAAGACCTTGATTGGAACTCTAATGCAAAACTGTACTCCCATACAATAATTTGGTCTCCAGCTTGAATTGTCTTCTATAAAACCAAGAAATCTAATCCATTCAATAAGCAGGGACAAGACCTTTCTATACTGAAAGAGAAACTAGCAGAAGGTCGAGGTCTCCTCCCAAATCCATTTCCATCCACATCATAAAGATCTAAAGCCAGAATTACTCCATGGATTCACGGAGCAAAGCTGTAGAATTCACCAAGGAGTATTTCACAGCAATTGTCTCCATAACTGCCTCGGCGATGCTCGCTCGAACCATCATCAATGAATGCCTTCCCAATGAGTTCCGCAGCATAGCTACCTCCGGCATCCAAAAACTCTTCAGCCAATTCTCCACCGTGGACACCATCATCATCCAACAAAAGGAAGGACTCCATTCCAATAAGCTCTATGACGCCGCCAACACCTATCTAACGACAAAGATCTCCCCGACTATGAAGCGGCTGCGAGCAAGTGAGACAGAGGACAACGACATCATCGTCATCAGCCTCGATGATGGTGAAGAGCTCATAGATGAATTCCAAGGAGTGAAATACAGGTGGAAGCTCATCAGCGAAGATAATCAGTCTACCTCCAGCGGCGGCGTAGAGAAAACCATCAAAGTCAAATGGTATGAGCTCAGCTTCCACAGCAAGTACAAGGAAATAACATTGGCCACCTATTTCCCACACATTCGGGCAAGATCCAATGCCATTAAGTCAGCCGACAGACGGTTGAAGCTTTATATGAATCGGTATGACAATTGGAGTTCCATAAAACTAAACCATCCTTCAAAGTTGGAGACGCTAGCAATGGAGGTACAGCTCAAACAAAGGATCAATGAGGACTTGGCGAGATTTGTCAAGAGAAAGGAATACTGTAAGAAGATTGGGAAGGCCTGGAAGCGTGAATATCTGCTCTTTGGTCCTCCAGGAACTGGCAAATCAAGCTTGGTCGCCGCCATTGCTAACTATCTCTGGTTTGACATCTACGACCTGAATCTTAAGGAGGTTAACTCGAATAAAGAACGAATGTTCATCTGAAAAAGCTGCTAGTAGCCATGACAAACAAATCAGTGCTTGTGATTGAGGACATTGACTGCTCCATTGATCTGAAAAACAGAGATGAAGAGGAAGAGAACGAGACAACGTGGAACAGCAATTATGTAACACTTTCGGGGCTGTTAAACTTCCTTGATGGCTTATGGTCGGCCAGTGGTGAGGAGAGAATCATCGTGTTGATGACAAACTATAAGGATCGGCTTAACCCAGCATTGCTGCGACCAGGTAGAATGGATATGCACATCCATATGGGTTACTGTGGTCTTGATAGCTTCAGAGTGCTGTTACCATGCCATTGATGAGCACTCTCTGTTTGAAGAGATTGATAAGTTGTTGATGGAGGTGGAGGTAACTCCAGCGGAAGTTTCAGAGGAGTTTTTGAGAAGTGATGATGTCGATTTCGCTTTAGGTGGTCTTATCCAACATCTACACAAGAAAAGAATGGAGGTGAAAGAGAAGAAAGGCAGAGCAGAAGCTTCTGAGGACAGCAAACAGGAAGAAAGAACAAAAAACAAATAGAAGAAGAGAAGCAGTTAACTGACCATGATTCTGATGCAGTAATTATTGGATGAGGTTCCAGCGCGGGATGTCTAATCTAACATACATTTTATAAGCAGTGCTCTACAGACCAACTCATGCTAAGCTCGCCAAGAGCGGTGGTCAGCCAAAATTACTGTTGTTGTAGTATCATGCTAGTAAATCAACTAAAGAAGCATTTGTATCTCCTGTACTGAATATATTTGAAATTATTGTAAGATGATAACTTCTGCATTGAATATATTTGAATGATTTGTACCATGCTAGTAAATCAACTAAGAAGCATTTGTATCTCCTGTATTGAATATATTTGAAATTATTGTAAGATTATAACTTCTGCATTGAATATATTTGAATGAATTGTGTTTCCTGGATTGAATATATTTGAAATGAATTGAATATATTGTACTGAGGTTAGCTCTACAGACCACAGGTCTTAATGATCGTATCACTTTCCACATGAAAGAATATACAAGCTAGATTTCTTTTTGTCCCTTTTCACAAGTAAACATGAATCAGCTAAATAAAATATAGCACGCCAAAAATATGTAAATCATATCTTCTTAAATGATGATTTGTAGAGCAACATTATAATAGTTCAGGTCAGTCACAACAGGTTGAACCAAACTGATACTAGCTCAGAGCACTCATGAGAAGTCTCGCACAGGTGTAAAAATTTAATAGACCCAAAGAAAATACTCTTTTTAAGACTCTAGAACACTCATTCTCGCCACAAAGAATAGGCCAACACATATGTAACCAGATAAGGCACAACAAAATGCTCTTCCTTAGGCCTAATTACTTTCCTTTCTCACCACAAAGAAAAGCCCCAACGCATATGCAATCAAGTAAGGCGATAAAAAGGCTCTTCCCCATGCAGAAGCACTTCCATTCTCTTCACAAGGAATACCAACAAGTCAGTTGGCCAACAAACGGGAATACACTGTACCATGAAATTATAAGAATCAAATAAACTAGATAATAAACAAAGAGATCCCCTTTTATGGTTTCCAACAAACAATGGCTATAACTCTCAGGTGAAGAGCAAAATTGAGAATATCCCGACTAAAATTTGGTGGGAAAGGATTTTAAAACTTTCAGGTTTATTTTTATACTAGTGTAATACAAGATTTGATTGATTTATTCATATATTGCATAAATCTTAAAACAACTTTGACGCTTTAAATTCATCCTGACCAAATTTGAGTTAAAATGGCCAGAATATCTACATTAGACTGATATGTTTTCTTTTCTTGTAGGGTCAATATTGATACCCTTTTTTGGTAGACTATGCTAGGCCGCATTACTCCCTTTTTTTTTTCTTCTAGGGTCAAAAGTGATATCCAACCAAACTGGTCTCTCCACCTAATATTTATGATGTTCGCATGTTAGTTTGACATGCTTATTTTCTTACAAAAATTTTGTATATTGTTGGTGCTTAGCCTTGATTGCGATGAGGTAGGTTTCTAGGAAATAATTTTATTCTACTCAAACTAAATAATAAAAAAGATCATAGAGAGTAAAATAAAGTAAAAAAGAATTAGGGAAAATTACAATATGCTTTTATATAGCTTCCACTCCTCTTCATATAATTTTCCTACATATGTGTAGGATTCTTCGAAACTTTGAAGATGAGAATCACTTCTCGTGTGATGTTATACCAATTTTTTGGCCTAAATCACGCCTTCAAAATTTCATCATATGCATCTTATGTTAGAGTTGCGTACAAGAAAAAAGGAACATTAAAATAAATTAATAGATTAGTTAGAGGTATTGCATGCCTCTTGCAATTGAGCAGCTTGAGTTATAAAACTGAGTTGTATGTCTTATCAATCTTCCTAATTGAATTACATACACATCCTGCATTAACATGTAACCAGACCTCGTGATTTTAACAAGCTTGGATGAATTAGTTGGCACTCCTTTCCAGGAAATATTATAAGCCCAGTAGAAATAGGCTTGTTTCATTCCTTGTGGATTTGAAATCTATAAGCCCCGTATGTATCATCACAATTAATTTGGAGTTACTATTTGATGCTTCATTTCATTTCATTATGCATTAGTTCTAACCGCTTGGGCTTCTCAATCTTGTTTCATAGTGATGTAAGTCTTCATATATCATACTTCTTCAAATCCTTAAGAGACCGAATTTAAGTTTTTCAGATGTCTATTGATATTAAAAGAGCTTCATAGATACTCAACTATGCAATAATCTTTTCTAAATATGATAATATATTATAATTTGTCTCCTTATTGAAGTTAGATTTTTTCTTTTAATCTTTGGATGTCATTTCTTTGTTGATCATAATATTTTTCTCTTTATCCTTATTAGATGGCCTTTATTGTGGTGGCGACAATAATACCATATTGTTCTTTGGTTGAACTTGGACCACTTCATCCAACTATTTCTATTCTATTAAAGCAATTCTTTTGTAATCAACCGGTCATAATTTTGAAGAATTGGTTGGAAGGCTCAAAGTCATTACTCAATTTCATATGCTCCATCTAAGATGTCATCGTGAGCTTTAACTCCCTTCCATTCGGAAATCATAGATCATCCTCAAAAGTGTTTTCTATAAAAACACCATTAAACAAAAGTCAAATACTATTTATAAGAATAACCTTCTTTTGTTGATTTTTACACATTGCATTTGCTAGGTTTAGTTCTCTTTGCTCTGTCATTGGTTCAAAAATGAAGTTCGTCAAAAAAATATTTGATGCCACCAAAATGACTCGACCCCTTCCCATGAGAGGTAATCCTCCATCATCCTATTTTTTGATTTATTGATCTGAAGTCCAAATATGAAATTTGTAAGCACTCAAACTTAAATTTCTAAATAATTCAAAAGCAAAAATAACTTCAATTGGATGGTTAATTACCCAATGATATGGGTAGTAGTTGGGATCATCAATATAATGTCACTTTGGATATTTTGGACGCTGCCAATTCTGGACCTACTTTGAATAATCCTAGCAAGCATAGAAGAAAGTGATCGTCTTGCTTTGCTAGAGGGTTTGCCTTGCATAGCTAGATGGACGAG